AGCCACTGGTGGCCAGACAGGGGACAGCCTGGCGTGGGGGGGGATCAGCACCCCTGGGGATATGCCCTCCGCCTGGCAGGGGGGGCTCCAGCACCCCCATCGCCAGCCCCCTCCTTACTTTGCAGATGAGATCACCACCGAGTGCTTGTCTGACTCCAGGATCTTGGCCAGGTGCAAGGCAACAGAGTCGGCGTAGTGGGAGATCTGGGCCTGGAGGGGGACAGGGCAGGACAGCTGGGGCCATGACACCCTGCTGGGTGCCTGGCTCCAGAATGGAGCCTTGCCCAGCCAGCCCTGGATCAGCTGAATGAACAGCCCTCCTTGGCCCGCTCCCCCAGCCCCAAGGGCAGCCATGCCCACACCGCCGGGCAGAGGGGATGCTCAGCCACAGCAGGAGGAAAACTGAGGCAAGGGGTTGAGTAGGAGCACACGGAAGAGTCCAAAATAGTCTGCCGGTAGCAGGTCAGCTCCACCTCACTCCACTGCCTGCTTCCAAGTGCATGTGCCAGGCTGAGACCTGACAGACTCATTTCATTGCATGCAGTCAGCTGCCAGCCCCCTTGCAGCCCCAGTCCCCAGGGACCCCCAGCATGACCTCTCCCTGTGCGATCCCACCCTGCATGCCCCCAAATCGGCTGATGGACTGAATGGGGACCTGCCCCCCAGCCTGCCCTCCCCCATCTCAAACTCTCGGTCTCCAACAGTGCCCACCTGGATGTTGGAGTCCCCGTTCTCCTCCTCTTTCAGGGCCGGGGGGGACTGCTTGGGGGCCTCGTAGGTCAGCACGCTCCACCTGCCAAGCAGAGACCACGGCTGCCTGCCACCTCCTAGCACCCCAGCACAGGGACACGTGGGCGGGGGACAAGGACAGGCTGCCTGAGAGGTGCTGAGGCCAGGGGGGGAGCAGAGAGGCGCATGCCCCGTGCCATGCTCACCGATCCAGCATCTTGGTGGTGGCCCTTTCTAGCTTCTCCAGGATCTGCAGCAGCTGGGTGTCATCATCACACAGGCTGCCCCAGCCCAGCACCCGTGCCAGGTCATTGCCGGTCCCCAGGGGCAGGACGCCCAGCTGGCACTGCGGGAGAGGGACGGGGCAGGGGGGAGCTCAGAGCAGCCCCCAAGGGCACCCACGACATCCCCAATCCCTCCATGCCCATTGCTCGCAGCACTCCAGGGCATACGGGGGGG